GGCGCGCGCGCGCGCGCGTAGCCACGTAGCCGGTTTATTGCAAGCGAGCAAGTTCATAAGAACGTGACGTAACAGATAACGTGACACGACACCGTTTTCTCAAATGGATCGCGCGGGACAATTCGCGTGGGCTATCTTTCCTCGTTGACGAGGTGTAATACAACCTCGTCGAAGATCGCCCTGCTAATCGCGCAACTAACCTAGCGCAATGGAAAAACCAGTCCTCTCCACCTTCACGCGGAGTCACGATAACGCGGGGAGAACGGATTCTCTTAATGACATAAATACGCGACCTTTTCACGGTTCAACGCGCTTCTGGGTTACGCTCAACCGTGAACTTTATACCCCCGCGAGATACGCTCCGAGGAACTACTATCTCTGGGTCGATGGGAAAGTTGCTGGTGAATTCCTTTTTCCCCGTATCTGTCATTCCGTTTCTTTTCTAGGCACTCGATATTCCTTCTTATTCTCATCCAATTCGGAAGATTTTAATTTAAATTAGAAATCGAGCAAGGAAAGACTCCTTTCCTCCTACACACCTTGAAACATAATATATACACGTAAGAAAAACAATCATCAAAACTGGAAGAAACGAAAAAAGTTAAAAATTTTTCCTTAGATTCCCTCGACTATATCTTATATTCCTCGAAACACATGACACGAAAAACAAAAAGCGATAATTTTTCATTTAAAAATAAGGGGAGAAAGAAATTCCAGAAATGAAAGGAAAATTTCAACTCGAGGAGGGTAGTACGAGTTGACGAGGTCGGGGTCAGCACGTCGCAGAAGAGGCGATCGTCCGATAAGCGATAACGAGAGTACAACAAACCAACGATCCATCCACCAATCAGAATCTACACATCGGAGTGAAACGGATAAACGATAGACTCGCAGGGGATACGTATCGTTGCTTTATCACAGAGTCGGTCGCCAAGCTACACGCAACACACACACACACCCACTTACATATATATATGTAGTCATAGATGAGGAAGAGGGGGAAGAGCATCGAGCGGCGTGTGTATCGGTGAGCAGGCGCGTGCTGGTTGGCTGGCGCGTAAGAATAGAGCTAGTAAATAGCTCGGCCGGCTCGAACGATATTACTAACCTAGC